AAAGATCTCTTTACAAATTCGGTCGTCTTCTAGCATGGGATGCAATTGTTTGAGGATTTTCCGGGTGGATTCCAGGGAAAGGTGGTATGTTATAACTAACGGTGTGCAATTCGTGGGGATTTTCTTTTTGTACTTCAGCAAATCTTCGCATGGTATCTGGGTGACTCCTTCAAAAATCTTCTCTCTCTTGAGGAGAGTCCTTGTTGGACGAAGGCCCTTTTGTGATTTGTCAGGTGGTGATCACGGGTATTTTCCTCAGTGCAAATTCAGTGGTATTGTAGAGTTTAGCTGTAAATTACAGCTTGCTTGGTGTGTTTAGGGCGATTGCTAGTTCTGTGTAGATATGCATGTTGGTTCGTGGGTTTCTTGTATGTGGTGGCTTGCATTTTACCATTTTGGATATTGATCATGGTCAGAGCCATCCCTAGGGGTGTGCGGGGCCTAGGGGCATATCATCCTGTGTGGGGCCTGGAGGGGAGGATGAGCGGCACCAGTGGAGTTGGGCCGGGGGAGGGTGGGGGGGTGGCAGCAAGCGGCCAGAGCCAGTGGAGCAGCAAGGGTCAGGCTGCAGAGCCGGCAGTGCTTGGCAACGGCGGTACGTGGAGGCTGCGATGAGGCCTATATGACACTGACTGTGGGACCTCCTGAAGCATGGGGCCTGGGGCGGTTGCCCTGTTTTGCACCCATCTAGGGGCAGCCCTGATCATGATGTCCAAAAAGGAAATGCTGGCGTTTAAGTATTTAAGAGATAGTATGATGGAGGGGTGACGATTGTTGAATTGTTGGTGGAAATCAGTCAGATACTACAGGGCTTCAGTCCAAATGATGATGTCGCTAACTAAAATATGTATGCTTTCATATCATCTACAGCAGTGGTGTCTTACCTTCTGGCTCTGCAAGCCAATTGAGTGGTGTATGGGGTTGGTCCATAGTTGCAACCCCTTCATGCCCAGATCCAGCTACACACCAGTCTGAACCCACTCATGCCCCATGAGTCTAGAAATTTGGCAGCAAGGCAGTGGCAGTTAATACTTCCACCACTCCCTTGTTGTTAAATTTCCAGACCCTTACGAAGCCCTGTGGGCCAGATGATGCATGTTTCTGGGCCAGGGGTGGAACACCCCTTACCTACAACCCTAAATCTATATCCGTAGCGTTTCATAATTATGGGGGGTCCCCTTGAAATTCAGTGGCAGAGAGGGTATAACCCACTTCCTGATAAGGTTTTGAAAGTGAGTATTTAACTTTTAGCACCCGTTTACTAAACTTTGTTAAGAACAGTTGGCATGTAATTCTGTAGTCATTTGACTTGCACTCAGTAGTTAGGTTAATTTAGGTGGGACCCACTTGTGCAATCAAACTGCCATTATTGTATGTTTCCTATGTAATAAGCTGTGGATTATTACATAGGACGTATGACTTGTTATATCTACCCACATGACTTTGGTATATAAATAGCAGAACCATACATGTTGAAAGTGATAGTATGGGATCCCATTGGACTACTTGTTTTTTACATTCTATATGGTGCATACTTAACGAGTCCTCAATCCTCTTCAGTACATCTGAACATTGCCCCTTTGTACATATGACACTAGCATAGCCTTTTTGGGTAGAATCTTGCATTCTTAATGTCAACGTAGCTATTTGTGCTGCATTTTCCAAATTAAAGTGATTGGGGGTGGGGGGGTAGGAGGGGAGCTGAGGGAGAGGAAAAAGGTAGTGTCATAGCAGGGCTTCAGAATACATCACAAATTGGCACTAGCACTTAAACTTCATTATTTTTATCTCTGTGTCAGTACTGCCAGAGTGTGCCCTTCCATTCATATATGAGGTAGAAGCCCAGCTTCTGTACATTTGGTCTCGGAGTGCATCAGATCAGGGCATGTTATGGTAGTTTATTGTGCAGTAGAGAGTCTTTCTCCTAGATTATCCCACCCGTACTGCCTGTTTCTTGCTAGTTCCCATCTACTAAATTGTCTTGCAAGATCCTCCCTTCTCTTCTGTAAACTGTTGCATATTACTGTCATGATGGTTACGTTGGGTTGTATGAATGCTCAGTTAAAAGAACAGCAAATGTATTCAGTATTGTTGGAAATATTTTGTGGAGTAGGGGTTTAAGTGCAAAAACAACCTACTTTGGAAGAAATTGCTATTCTAAGGAAGCTGAGTTATTCACTTGAGAAGATGATCCCGTGATGAATTGCAAGTGAACTGGTGCTGAACATTCTTTAGTTGCAAATGTAGACAAGGCAAGTTTATATTCTGCTGTGTGTTTAGAAACAAAATTTAGCCTGATCTGTGCTAGAATGCTTTCTGAATCTTTTCAGAGAGCAAATATGGAATGATGTTAGGAGTTAACAGATCCTGGACAGCCTTGCAAAAATTCCATCTCAAGCAAGTAATAACTGTTTTAAAGGGAGCAGATCATGTTGGAAAGCTACTGCCGTTTTAATACATGGAAGTTGACTTCTTGCTTTGCATCATTTGTTTGCAAAACTTTACTGAAATATATGCAGAAGTCATATTTTGGTCCAGTTTGTTTCTGAAGTTCAACTTATGGATAGAGGCCCAATAACTTCTTTTTAAGCCATACTTTCCAACTCCCTTCCCATGCTAGTTTATATAGTCTTCACTAAGAAGATATTTTGTTGAATCATTCTTGAAGGGATGCGTAGATGTTTTACTTTGCGTTCTGTGGATATAGTTCACAGCAATTATAGTTTCTAGTAATTATGATTACAGGTAGCATTCATTAGGGCTCTAAACTTCATGCCACTGCTGGAGTTGGTGCATCTTGCTCTCCATCATCATATGATCTCAAAACTGTGCATTAGAGCAGCATTTCTCAACCCATGGGTTGTGACCTAAAAATGGGTTGCAAAAATATATGAAAGGGTATATATGACCAGACTTTAAGAATGGATTCTTCTTTAAAGGAGGAAAAAGTGGGAAATGGTGGCTTTTCCCTTGCAGGCTGGCAGAGTTCCAGCATGTGAGAGGCTGCTTGGACACCC